GAACTGCAATCAGACATAAAGACAGACGCCTCTAAAAAGTTATGCTTATAAATAAGCATAAATTCACAAAACCTAAGCTATTTAAATCATCCATTAAAAAAGCTACATTTCTAACTAAAGGTGATGAGCAATATATGTTCTTCAGTTTGACATATCCTGTGGTTATTTGTTTGTTTTTGTCATAAACAAACACAGCCACACACACAGTGCACACATACACACACATACACACACACACACACACACACACACACAACTGTCTATAATAAAATTTATTATTAAAAAAAAAACTGCTATATTAACTTCAAATCTGAGAGTAAGTTATTGTACACTGGAAAATCTTTACCGTTTTCTCTACAAACACACCAGTCAAAATAAAAACATTTTTACTCCAATTAAAAAAACACCGCGTAACTTTAACATTACGAAAATTGCAGTGGCAGTCAAAATACAAAACAACACGGTTTCTGCACGGGAGATTCACACCATCACACATTCAGTGTAAATGTACAAATGATCAGAACGCGATGTAGCGCTCCGGTGCTAATTGACAAAGCCGTGGAAATCAAACGGCAGCTGCCTGCAGCCCTGCACTCATTCTGTCCTCCGCTCACTATTATCATTATTCTCTAAATCACGAGCTTTTGCACAAACGCACCCTCCGCTAAATACAACAGTACATCCTACATACTTGCATCACAAACATTACCGACACATTTAAAAAAAAATCCAAACGCCGCATCAAGCAAAAGAAAAAAAATCCACTGGTCTTTCAGTCCAGCACAAAAATGCATCTCCTCTCCTTTCCCTCTCTCTTTTTTCTCCCCCTCCTCTCCCCCTCCTCCTCCCTCTCTCCCTCCCTCCCTCTCTCTCTCTCTCTCTCTCTCTCTTTCTCTCTCTCTCTCTTTCTTTCCCTCCCTCTCTCTCTCTCCCCCTCTGTCTCTCTCTCCCTCTCTCTTTGGCCTGGCTGCCTGTCTGACTGTATGAATAATGTCCTGCCTTTTGTAATGAAGGGGGGGGGAAAGGGGAAAAAAGGACGCTGAAGTGGTAAAGCCCTGCTCCCATGCACTGACATTGAAAATGAATGACAGCTTACCTGCATGCCAATCTTCATCAGACTGACACTGGGCTGACAGCACAGCCTATACTCCTCCACACAGCCGGTGACGTCAGCCATGCCAGGCCCCTCCCACCTCCATCTCCGCTCCCCGTTTTTCCCAACACCGGGCTGCTGATGCCTTCCAGTGTCCATGGGAAATACGGCAATCACGTGTGGGGGCTTCGCGAGAACGGTAACCCCTGCAACCACATTGAGAATGAGTGCTGAGGTTGTTTGGAAATACTGCTTCAAAGCAATGAGTTGGAGGTGATGAAGCACCAAAAACACGTTTTATTCTTCCTGTAGCCTTTATTCTTTTCCTGCTCAGCTTGGATGACACAAAAGATCTTCACTCAATAACCAGGATTTTCAGTATCACTCACATATGTATGAGAAATGTTTTCTGTGTTCTGTTTTGGCATAAACTAAAAGTCAGTCAAATTGAAAAGTGTACAGCCTAATCTTATTTGATCATTACATTTGTTTTCAAATGTATTGTGCATCATGGCAAAAAGTAGATTGTGACACAGGCTGTTAGAGTGAGGGACATTGGTCTACAACCATCAACTACATTATCCTGCAAGAAAGGATATACATGTCACATTTTTTGCCTTAATTGTTGCAAGAAACTCAATTAATCTGTTATTAATTTCTGCATTTTTCTAATAATAGCCTGTGCTAATGCACTCATTCTGGCTTGTGTGTAGTATCTGAATTATAGTAACCAGACCAGAACTGAAATTCAAAAATGGGCATCACTCCATTTGGACATTTGTGAATTGTATTTAGTCATTGAATATATATGCAGCTCTCTTAATTCAGTTATTTTCTTACCTATTCTGGTTTACTGGTGACTAATCCTGAACAGCTCAAACAGAAACAAAACCCTGGCTGGATATGAGGTTACAAGTCAGGGTCTTAAATTATCAGCATAGTGTTTGCTTGCTCTCTCCACTCTGGAAGAGTCTTTAATCTGTCTGTTATTGTCGAGATTGCAGAGGAAATCAAATCATCTGAAGGAATTCCAGGCAAACACTGTGAGAGCACCAAACTCCACACACAGTTTGGTAGTTGGGTGTGAACTTGTGGTTTACTTTTTATTTTCCGTGTTGATTGCTCTAAATGATATTGTGACTGGGATCCAGTCCTCTGCCATGTGACTTCTGAAGTATCCAACTCATTAATAAACGCTGGGGGCTTGGATCTTACGAGGGTCACTTAAAGGCAACATGTCTTCTTCTAGTAAGCACGCACAGCACCACTTCAAGTGGGACTGGAGCGCACACACGCACGCACGCACGCACGCGCTGACACACATGCCTTTGAATCGCCGGTCTGGCCAGCCCCCTGTCGGTCCGCATTAATAATTACATGCTTCAAAACAGACAGGTGGACTCATGGGAACCTGAACCACTGCTGCACATAAGAGATACAATAGATAGAGATTTCAGTTGAGACTAGAAATGTCCGTCTGGATACAGGGGCGCAGCACCAAATTATGGGCCCTATGCGTCTCTGTGGGCCCCTCTCGTTTTTCTCTTGATCCAAGTCTTTGTGCTCTCACACACCTTTTGAAGTCTTACAAAGTCAGCGAGAAGGGCCTTAGGGAGCTCCCGCTATTATTTTATACAAAGTTAAGTCTTCAACTTATTTATTCACCAAATTTAAATTTATGGTGGCACTAATTACTTAGAAATAAAAAACAAAACTAAACTATTCATTCCAGGCTTTTCAAGGCCCCTCTCCCATTGGGGCCCTGGGTACTGGTACTGGTAACTTGTTCCACTCCTATGACACCTCTGTCTCGATACTCCCGGCTGAAAACACACAGCAGCATTGACTCTATATCAAAAGAACAGAACTTTGCAGAAACCCCCTTGTTTATAGCCTATCATTTCATAATGTTGTCCAATTAAGAAAATTGAAGATGGACATGGTTTTCAGGCAGTGGGTTTTAACTGTGATCTAAACCTGTGTCCAGTTCTATTTCTAACTTCTTGGGTCCACCAGGGCGGTTTCATACACTGAGAAGTGCATAACTTAACATTGCATGCTGTACAGAAGCCATCTGACCTAAGTGGCTTCAGGGAATGCATGCTGAACAAATGCACTGTAACTTGCAGTGAATTAACCACTATAACACTACGACACACTCTGTCCATTAACGACCAGAAAATTGTTTTGAATGAAATGTCAAAAGAACCCAAGCAGAAGCTGTACAGGCAATTTGCAGTGACCAGCCACCGGCAAAGCCAGTTACTGTGCGAACACCTGTGGTGATAACTGTAGTTGTAGCTATAGTAAGTGTGCCTGAATCAAATATGCTTTATGCTCAAAGTCATTATTGTAGCTTGTTTAAAATAGAATCTGAAGTAGCCTCCAGATTCTGAGCGTGTGTGTAGGTTAGGGTGAAGTCAGATAATTTGGGACACTTTTTGGTAGATCAACAAGAAAACCACCCAAAACTCTGAAGACTGCACAAAGGATAACTTTTAGAACTTGTTTTGGATCTCTGCTTTATTTCTATGAAGAAAAACTGTTGCCAAGTAAAATACTTTAGAAAATACAGATCTTCAAACACATCGAGAACTACTACCTCACTGTGATGACAAAAATGGGACTTTCATGTTTGTTTTTTTGTTTAAATGGTTAAATCCATTTATCAATTCTGCCATTAATTCATGAAACCATAAATATAACCCAAATATTTAATAAAAAAAGATCATCCTACTTTTCTGCCATACCTTACCTGTTCTTTTGCTGGCTGTTTCCTTGGTGCCATATTGTCTATAGACATGCCTGTGTGTGCTTGCATGTGTGCAGCAATGAGTGCATTTACATGGACATGAATAACCCATTTATGATTGTGTTTTTGGAGTATCCTGTTTATGTGTTTGAGCATGTAAATACCACATTCTGTTTATGAGAAACCTGAATATGCTCACTGGAGCCCTCTGAAAGAAACTGGGATATATGAATAACCTGACTTCTCTGTGCTCATGTAAAAACCATAACTCCAATATGATCATAACTGGGATAACCCTCATAAATGGGTTATTCATATCCATGTAATTACACTCATTGATGGCTAATTCTGGACTACTGTGGCTGACATGGACTCACTGAATCATCTTTAATATTTTTAAGTGACATAAAATAGCAAAAAAATGTCTGTGATAGTACAGAGTGGCACACAACAGCATAACTCATGAATTTATCAGACCTGGTAGCCTAAAAACATGCTGGTTTCACTTCAGAAAAACGTCTCATTTTAGCTTCATTTTTTTGGTTTCATTTTAGTCTCACACTCAAAACCCCAAATTAAAAAAAAAGTAAAGTGCATTGTGAAAATATTTTGGTGAGTCAAAGTCAAACAGTTCATAAAATGCTAGATCCTACAGACATTTTTGTTGCATACCTTTATTGTTTTAGCCGCTGGACTCTAATAACCAAAAAGAGAAAATCAACATGCCACATGGCTTACACTGCGATCTCTGGGACCAGTGATTTTTTTAAATCCTTGCTTTGCAATCATTGTTGTCTCAGACAAATCCAAAATGATTGTTTCGTGTAAAGCACATTTGCACTCATAATGCAATAACATGTTTGGTGGTGACTGGCTGCTAATATTCAAAAGCCTGAGATGTGAAACCTTATTTGTCCCATTTTACCTGATGCAGCAAATTACCTGAGTTCACCCTGTAGCCCTCTGTGTGTGTGTGTGTGTGTAGGCTGTGGTAATTGAGGCCCACTCAATCGTAGATTGTTTGCTATTGATTTTATCTGGTTGCAGGTAGGCTAGATATCCATTTGGTGGTGAGGTTGATGAGGTGGCTTTTGAATGATGAAGTGATCAACCTAGTAGGCTATTAAATGGTGATAAAAAAGAGAATATAAAAAAGCTTGATAAGAATGCTCTTTTAAGTATACTGAATAAAGGTAAGAGAACACATGGGTATTGTATGAATGGGCAGTGGCGTAAGGTAGTTACAATGATAGGCCCCAGTGCAAACTATTATGACGGGATTTTGTGTCTAAATTATACCGTATATTGTATCATCTGGTCACATGATCAAATGTCAATATCAACATCTTACCCAGCAATCATTTTTGCATATCTGTATAAGGCAAAAACACCAATATGAATAACAAATGATTCATTTAACATGTAACTGTTTGTGTAAATTCTTCACATTTTTTTTTTAGTTTATGTAGAATAAGTATGTAATTTTGTTATAGACTGCTACTGACTAGTTGACCAAAAATAAATAAATAAATAGGCTAAATAAATGAAAACTCTTAGTCTCTACGGTCCCCCCACCCCAGGGGCCTGTCTATGCACCGCACTGTCTGTATGTAGGCCTAACGTTATGCCACTGTGAATGGGGGGAAAGCACAATAGCCCATGAGCTACATATCTTCACCCAGCTCGCTGTTGGCAGAACTGCCTTAAGGATTTTCTGCTAGAGAGCCTTTTCCTGTTTGGTGTGGGATATGATCATGGTTTAACTTAAAATAGAAAAAAAAATCTACCAGAAAGTGCTTTCTTGCAAAAACTTTTCCCATGTGCACCATGGATATATTATTAAAGTCTATTTCAAGTAACGACGCATATGATTGGCCCGTCTTGAATTCGTATATCCAATCAAGTTCCAGTTTGCTGTTACCAGGAAGCAGAAGACGCGATGGGGAACGACTAATCCAGCACTTCAACTGATCACTACTACATGAGAAATTACGGGTTATTGGACAGCAACGATTTTTTTTTTCACGGAAAAAATGCATGTGGAACATCATAAGTTACATTTTTCTCTAAGCATGCAACTGTCGGTGTCAGCATAGCAGATGTAACGTTAGCCGTGGCAGCTAGCGTTAACATGCCCACACAACTGTGAAAGTTACAGTTAGCTAATGTTGCTAGCTACACTATGTAACTTAGTGTGTAGTTAACTTGTCTAGATACAGCATTGCGTCGTTATCAGTGTGCCGAACGTCGGTCGTAAAATCATATTTTACCCACCTCACCGATTAACTGTCCTGTCTGTTGGGTAAACTACCTTCAAACTTTGCTTTTCAAAAATGGCAAGCACTGTGTTGGAAGTCGGAACGGGCGTTTTCATCATTGCGGTCGTTTGGATTGCAGCTCTTGTGATTGGGATGATGCTGCTGAGAGCTTCTGGATCAGCAAAGTGAGTGAGATGAGCACCTCCACATACTCCTTCTCCTATCCCGGTTTGAATGCATTTGCATAATGTTAAACTAATGGACAATAGCGATCGGGGACAATTTATGTGCAACTGAATCAATCAGTGCCTTATTCCATTGACATTTCCACCCCTTAAATGTTGGTTTGCTTCTTGGCCGAAGCAAACATTATCTGGAACATAAATAATGTAATATATAGCATTAGTAAGGTTTTCTCGAAAATTCGGCATATGTTTAACTTACCGGGTAGCCGTTGATACAAAGAAAATCTAAACATATCTAACTACTTAACACAGAGGTGTGTTCAAGGGAGGAAAAATGACTATAGTCGAATTAGCTGTCACATTGAAGATAAGACCCAGATTAATGAGACACCTTTAGCTGTGAGGAAAAAACAATAAAATAAATTAAACTAACATATTTTTTATAACAATTTGGCATGGATTTTACACAAAAGAACCACAATCAGAATAGCATTTATTACAACGGATTTTTTTACTTAGAAAAAAAATTAGCCTGGTGTTTGGAGCATACAATTAACTTATCGGGAAAGAAAACTAGAGACTACGTCATTCAATACTCATGGGTATATAACATTTACAAAACAAGAGACAAATGCTGTAAAAAATAAGATAACATAAAAAATATGAAACTATTTTTTGCCATTAAAAGTTTTTGTTTTTTACCCAGATAGACCAGCAAAAATAACGTTTCCTGACCTCTCACCAAAATTCTGTCAAACAATCAATTAATACAACATGCAGCTTTACTGGTTGATTGCTGGGACCATGCACCTTCCAGTCCCTGCTGATTACAACTGGTGCAGTGACCACAAAATACCCTAATACTATTCAAGTCAGTAAATGTTTATGTCTATGTAAAATACACTGTGACATTGAACACCGCAGTTGTGTAAGGGGCAATTACAGTAAAGTTTAAATGGGGTGAAACATGGTGCTATTTACTTGATTGAAAAGTTAACAACTTTTTAAAAACACAATAAATAACGCCATTGTTTTGATTGGTACTTTATAAAGACATTATCCTCAGATAACCCTGTGTTTACTGCAAGTCTTACCACAAATCAGCAGTGGGTATCCTCATATTATCCTCTTTGTTTTAACAGTGTGTGTGTGTGTGTTTTGTGTCTCTCCAGGTTGGGCGTTATCCCCATTTTCTTACTGGCTCTCACCATCACTTTAGTGCTGGTGTTTTTCCCTCGCAGCCCAGAGACAACTCCCCCATTCAAAGAGATAGAGGTGAGCTCTACACTGATCTCATTCACCTTTACACACACTTAAAGACTCACACCCATGTACACGGGTTTCTTAAGCATGGGGAAACTTGCTAAAAATTGGCTATAGACTCCTCTCCCCTTGCCAGTAGACTAGAACTGTGTACACGGTGCTGCAGCAGATGTGATGCATTTTTGTTTTTTTATTGGTGTGTCATGTTTGACATCACGGTCAGGTCGTAAAACAGATAAGTAAACAGTCGAACGTAATGCAGTGAAAATGTTCCGTTGGTTACTTCTTTTTTGATATATCTCTTACTTATTTAGTCCCTCTTTTTAAATTCGGTGCAGACTAATTTGGATCGATGTTTGAGCGCTGCTTGGGCGGAGGTGGACGGTATTTTGTGGCAGCTCGTCATTGTATCTCGCTGGTAAAGGGGTTAAATTAGCGCGTTCACATGGGTGTTGTATTTCCATAACTGCAGATCAGAGATGGAGCTGATAAATACCCATGACTACTGCAGAGTCAATTGACCTGGGTGTGAATATCAGTTGTAACCTTTCCCATTACATACAAAAGTCAGGTCTTGGTTGGTGTTAGTCATTATTTTGTGCAGTGGGAAAGGGCCTTCAGATAGCTGATTTCCACTAAAATTATCATGTATATGGAGGGTTTTTTAGCACAGGTGTCCCACTGGTGTTTCACGTTCAACATCACAGACAGGCCGGAAAAAAGGTTAGTAAACAGTAGAAAGTACTTACTGTGGTTACTTCTTTTTATATATGTCTCTTAAGGCTCAGACATACTTTTCACATTGAATATCTGCAGACAGCTGTGGTCACGCTGACACGCACACCGTTACATTCATCATACAATTGCAGGTCCGTGTCAGCCCCTGGCAGTGAAGTGAGCTTTCTGTCCTCCTACTGCCGTCGTCGGGCGAAACTGAAACTAAGAAGCTGCTGCTGGGTCTGGACTGAATGTCTATCAAATATCCAACTTATAACTAACTTAACCACAGTGCAGCAGCTGACTTGTCCTCTGTGTTTTGGACTAGACTGGAATGTGGAACAAGAGATTTGAGCATGCGCAGTTGGCTTGCTCTGCATACAGTCTGCGCAGTCACAAAAAAAGGGCTGTGCACAGAGGTTAGCAGACCCTTGCTGATGTGGATGGATGATGAGATTTGCATCACATGGACCAAAGCAATCACGCAAACTTGGAATTTATGAAATGGCCTTTATTTATTCAGTCTCTCTTTCAAACTTGATGCAGACTAATTTGGATCGATGTTTGAGTGCAGCTTGGGTGAAGACGGACAATATTTTTTCATGGCGTAGCATTGCACTGTGTAGGTGAAGGGGCTAAAATTAGCATGTTCACCCTGGTGTTGTGTTTGGATCACTGCAAATCAGAGCCAGAGCCGATAAATACCCGTAACTACTGCAGAGTCAGTTGAGCCGGGTGGAAATGCTGACTATAACCTTTCACATTATATTAAAAAGCCAGATGTTGGCAGGTGTTAGTGGGTTTTTTTGTGCAGTAGAAAATGGGCTAGATACTCACACCCCTATGTTTGTTTAATCACATCTATTAGCTGCTGGTTTGAATTGTCATAAGTAAACTCATATTCACACCTGATATCCTGGCTACAGTATGAACAAGTATGTTGTACTATATTAAAATGCAAATACCACAGAGAAATATTTTCACTCGAGAGTTTTAGAGATGCATTTATGTGATATTTGGACTGAAAGGTGTTAACTTGCTGAGTAGGCATTTCACTTCATGAAGAGGCAGTTTAAACTTATCGTGCTGCCAAATCCATGACAAGGAAATATTCCAAATCAGTGTTCTATCAAACCCTTTATTGCATTAAAAACACAAAGTCTTGTGTTATTATCGTCTGTTATTGTGGCTAATGCATAATGACAGCATAACGTACTTCAGTTGGAAATAACAGCAGGGCTGGGATGTTTTCAGTTTTGTTCTGAGGCCATTTGGCTTTCATTACTACCAAATGTTTTGAGACAACTGAGTGAAAATGAGGATTCAGAGCCCACAAACAAACAGCTTACTCTAGCTCAATGGTCATCTCATACTCACTTTGGTGCTCCCAAAAATGATATTTAATCACAAATGGGGTCTGTTCTCTTTATGCGTTATGAAATTGAAAAACATTTAAGATCAGTAAATGAAATGAAAGTCCTCTTATACTTGCTTATTAAAGTTTACAGTACGTGTATCTGTATCCTGGTTGTATGGTTTTAAGATCTCAAAGGGTAATTCATGTTTTTTTGTGTGTGTCTGTTTGTCTGTGTGTGTGTGGGGAAAAATGCCAAAAGGCAAAGCTCAGATCATGTGTGGCTGTAACTAAGAGCAGAATTCCTTTATTTGTACTGATTGAGGATTCAGGCTCTATTTAGGTTTGAGGTAGGTGAATATAAACAGCCTATCCTAGATAAAACCTTAACTGTAATATAAGCCAGTATCCTCTGTATGCCTGTAAATGGCATGTGTCACTGTGTGTGCACGTCTGTGTATGTGCTTGTCATAAAGGCCTGTTCTGCTTTATCTTAGTCCAACAGCAACACAGAACAAACACTCCCCCATGTTGCCTCCGGGTCGTGCCAATAAGCCGGCCAGATTTGCCAAGCAAGCTGCCACCCCATAGAAATAGCGGAGCAGAGCCCCGTCCCGGCTAGCTCACATTTTATAGCCTTTGTGCAAAGGCAGATACCAGACCAGCAACAGAGAGACACAGCACAATGTGACTTCCTGGATTTCTGTACAAGGCTTACGGGTAAAATCAACCCACGGCTACTACAGTAATCGACTCCAGTGTTTAAAAGAGGTCCCTTATAAAATCACTCGTAATAATGACACCCTATTCTACCAAAAAGTCATAATTGGTTTGCTTTGTATAGCAACCTTTATTTATTACCAAGTGGCCCTTTTGTTTCTATGAACTGGGAGCATCTGTAATAAAATATTTAATTTGAAGAGGAGCTCACATGATTGAAGAATGTAACAATTACAAGGAGTCTTCTTTCAGTAGTTAACTGTTTTTTCAAGAAGATGAATATGTTCATCTTTTGCTTATCGTAAAGAGTCGTTTTAAGAATAGAATAGAATTGAATTTTTATTGTCCATAATTGTGGAACATTGCCCATCTGCCATATCATTCAAGCATCAAAATGTACTTACACTACATAACAACACTGACACGATGAATACTCTCAGTAATGAAATACAATCTTACTGTATAATGACGAAAACTCTGTCTGTGTGTGTGTCTGTGTGTCTGTTCCACGTTTATCTCCTCACTGACTTGGTCAATCCATGTGAAATTTGACACAGTGGTAGAGGGTCATGGGAGGATGTGAATGAAGCAATATTACTTCAGTTGGCCAAAGGGGGGCGCTATAGCAACCGATTGAAATTTTGAATGGGCATATCTCAGAGACATGAAACTTTGCACAGAGATGCCTCTCCTCATGAGGAACAAATTTGCCCCAAGAACCCATAACTTCCGGTTATATAGATTTTCCGCCATTTTGAATTTTTTGAAAAACACAATCGATCTCTTTCTAGGAAGTTTGACCGATCTGCATGAAACTCTGTGAACATAATCTAGGGACCAATATCTAAAGTTCCCTCTTGGCAAAAGTTGAAAACTTACTAAAACTGAGCTTCTATAAGGCAATGAATATTGCGGAGGGCGTGGTTCATCACATAAAAGGTGTATAACATCTCAAGGGTTTCACCGATCACCACGCAACTTTGTAGGCATATGACCACACATAATCTGAGGGGACCCCTCCATTATTAACCCCATCAAACAAAATGGGGGCGCTAGAGAGCTAATTTCTTATCTAGGCCGAACCGCCATATCGATTTTTACTAAACTTGGTAGATATGTAGAACAGGATGCCTCAAGGTGACTGGAGAAATTTAACTCTAATTGGCAACTGGGTGGCGCTATAACAACAGAAAAATGCTTAAAAAGGGCTAAAATGCGACCGATTGCTGTGGCTCCCCCTGTGGCCGAATGTTGTTGTTTTTTTCCTAATTTTTGGTATGACTAACTCATGGTATGGTATGCTGCTGCAGCAAGGGCTAGCTGCACCTTTTCCATGTGAAGTACCAGTGCGCCCCACTTTTAAGTCAATACAAGATATAAACACTTTAACTATCTGCCTTTCAACGTGCTACCTCAACTACTAATGTACACTTTTAGCCCACTAACTATCCCACTATTGGCAATGGTACTACTGTACTTTCAATAAAGCAATCGTACTATCAAATTCACAAAAACTCTGTCTGAATACATTGCTCTTCTTAGTGGGTTCAGTTGACTGTTTAATCTGCAATTTCCTATGACCTGTATCCCAAACACACACCATATGAAACTGTATGTGGGCAACTGTGCACTCAGTGGGTATGGACTAGTACACAAAATGTAAAAACACCTAAAACTAAAAAAGAAAAACACGTAAAATGATATTAAAATTGATTTTTTAAGAATTGAGCAACTGTTTGATAACTGATGAGCCAGGACAAGAGACAACCTCCAGTACGGAAAAATGGAGCCAATGCAGACTTGCCAAAAACTGCAGTTCATCAAATGGCCACTTGAGGCTGTCTCCAAAACAGTCAAACCCCATAGGGCGTTTATACAACTCATCTGTTTACATTTTATTAAAGCCCAAAATCATGCATATTTAAGGGCAGGGCTGCTTGAGTGACAGGCTGCTGCGAGCATTGCTACAATCTATGAGTCAGATCCACTTCTTGCTTCTTCACAGCTCCACCCTCTCATCCAAATTTAGTCACTTCGGGCTCCAAAAAATCAAAATGGCGACGGCTTAATTGGTGGGTGACGTCAAGGTAGCTATGTCCATTATTTATACAGTCTACAGCCCTTTTACACAGAGAATACGCTATAGGGCTGCTATGAAGTCCCTTCTTTATGCCTCCTTTCCATTTTTACATGAACCAAACTCCAGTATCATGCCACTCCA